GCGGATCGTACACTGCCACTGCGTATCGGACAATAACGTTTTTATAATATTATTATTATTATTATTAAAATAATGGTTGTACACGACGTATGGTATTGCCAGTATAATAGCTAGCACCGTCGAACCGGTCAACACCAAGCAACCTTCTCTACCGACGGTTTTCGACGTTTGTTGTCACGTCGTTATCAGCTAGGTTGATAATGAAGTTATAAGCATGGCGGTGATAACGGTATTTTTATAAAATCACAATTTCATGTTGCAGTKTCTGGCTGCAACTACTATCGAAACACGGCCAATTGCAGTGTTACCTCCAAAGTCCACTACTACAATTTATGTTTGTTTTTTTTTTAACGCCTGCTGTGACTTCACAGAGTACATGCATAAAATTTTACTATACAGAGTGATTCAACTGCAGGGTGCTCGCCCTCATCATTTTTTTCTTTAATAACAAAATATATATTAAAATACTATTTTTTTCGAATGTTTAACTGTACCTATACTTAATAACCATACTTAGGTTTTATATAAATTAAGTCAATTAAGAAGTATCTGAATTTTTTCAAATTCGATTCATTCTTATTCCTATTATAAATTGTTAAATAGGTGAAATTTTGAAAATGCTCATTTAGGACTCAACATAAAATTTGAACTATTAAGTTTTGATTAACTTAAAATCATRTACCTAGTTAAGAATTTAGGATAATAGGTTTGAAAGATCAGATTATGGATCCTTTGATGAATTGGAAATYATAGTAATTAGTAATTACTAATTAATGACAATTTAAAAATTAAACTCCTTCAAATTTTTGTTTGGTCGCATAAACATTTTAAAAACAATCATCTACCAAATAATGTTCAAGTAATAAAAGCTAAGTCATTAAAAAAAAAATCAAAGATTGCGTCGCCACATGCACACCTATACATTTTTTACATGGAATAATTATCTAAGTAGTTGAAAACTTGAAAAAAATATCATAATTAGTATAGGTATTAAAAATTACAAAACCAGAATTTCAATATTATTCATTATTTAAGGAAAAAATGGTGGTGAGCATGCTTAGGAAATCACCCTGTATATATTATGCAATTTACGTAATCTATACAAAGTATACAACAGTTTCAGGATTAATTCGGTTGTATGTATTTAGTTACCTTTTAACTATATGTAATATAAACGAGTTCGTGTTCGATATTAATAGAGAAAATGTAATTATTCATTACCTATGTTCTTTTTTTAAGCCTAGTTAATTGAAAAAATATAAGTAAGTAATAGATACACGTAATAGAACTATAATTTGTGTGATTACAACCAAATTAGGTAGATATCTACAGATAATATCCTAAAAAAATTCGAAAAATGAGTTAAACATTTTAACTAGACTTACTTACGATAAAAAATATTCAAAACAAATTATTTAAAAATAAAAAGGTGTATAGATGTTAGAATTGACTACGAGGAGGTAACTGAAAGTTTGTATTTGAGAACGTATTTTATGGGTAAATGTACTCATACTGCATTGATCGCTATAGATATCTAGACAATATAATAAAGGTATCAGGAAACAGATTATTTACAAACTACAATATACAGTATAAAGTCTATAACTGGCGAATTAAAAAAATGCATTGCTTTTGCTACACATTTTGGATTTTATGCGTCTCCGCAAAAATTGTACTGACCACTTGCGTATACACATTGTCGTGTGCAGATCGGATTWTTACAAAGTGTGCGACCTCTATGGTTCTGCAAAAGTCCGTCACGACTCTCGACTAGAGTATCTCAGATCTCATAGCTGCAGTGTAAAACACTATAAACCATTATAAATCACAATA